ATGTTTTAGAATGACTGATTCAGCCTTTCTTCTACATTGTGTGTGTGTTAACATGTCATAGCTTGAGGATTCGGGGCCCTCTGAAAATTTATGTGGGCCCCTCCACCAATATCATATACTGTAGATCAGCATAGAGGCCCACATATAACAGAAGTAGGTGATAGTTTTTATTAGTTCTAAATATTATATAAACATTTAACTTTTAAAATAAAGGTTTTACACCAACAAAAATCAAGATATTGTTAAATAATAGTAAAACCAATTTTAAAAAGTAACAGCAAAATAATTTTACAATTCGCTCTGTCAGAGAATGTCTAATTGGCACTGGCTGGTTACTTCCGGGTTCTGGACTGGCTGCAGTAACACGTCTCTGTCCATGCGGGGGCGCTAGCGGTCGAGTGCAGAATGAATGGGAGTCAATGGAGTTTCACCCCCATAAATCCACTTTTCTCAGGATGTAATTTTTTGTCAAGTAATTTGAAAGTTGCATTCAAATGGAATATAATATAATGTAATGACATTCTATATAGATCAGTGGTTGTCAACAACATAGCCTCTGAACATCATAAAGAAAACAATGGCTAACACAAACTGTTCTGGAAAATGCACTTTCTAATGCATGATTTCGACTTTTATAATGTATAGACCCTTTTACAGTTGGTAAACATGGTGACGTTTTGAGTGCGGAGCTTAGGCAGAGGCAGAAAGATCCCTCTGGCCGCTTCACTAACGATAGTTAGCAAGTTTTATTAGCTTGTTTTTTAACAATGACTGGAGAAAATCAGATTTTATCTTAATGTGTAAGGTCACTCACTCTCCAGGACCGCGATTGTTACTTCCAAAGGTTATTTTTAACGGACAGAACCAGATTGGCCGACCCGTATAGCCGCCTACACGCTCACTCAATGCATGGACGATCTGACAGGATTAACGTACGTTACCTCGGGTGAGTGGCCTGACTTCTGCACCTACCTTATAAAGAAACCGATCGTAAAGAGAAACTGAGGGCATACAAATCTTTAGATGCCTATAACGTGCTGCATGGTCAAGACGTGTGTGTATGATCCGCAGTTCTGCCGAGCCAGGGCAGAGAAGACTGCAATGTAAAGAGTGTCATTACGGTGCGATTTTAATCATGTGAATATTTTCTAGAAATAAAAAATCCAGATACAGCATATTCATTTTTCATTGATACTTGCACCAAACAACACAATAAGATGACATTTAAAAATAATAAAAGTAATTTAAGCTCCTTATTATGTAGACGAATCTGTGCTGGTTTGCATTGGCCGCCTCCAGTTTTCACTTTGTTTTGCCTCCAGCTAGCGCCGTGACGTAACTGTGACGTCGGCGCAAAAGGGGTCTATCCCATGGGCTATGTGCACAACCGTAGTTTGGAACTTACGCTTTTGTCAGAAGTTGGCGTATCAGTTTCCGGTCTACGACTGGTCATCCGCATCCACTAATAAACAAACAAGATGAGTGCTGCTGTTGTACGAAAAGTTACTAAGAACTGTAGTGGATCTAACGTCCGTTTCACACCCGTTTGCAGTGTGTGTTGCGGTGCAGGATCGTGCTGTAAGTGCGTTCACATATTATGATGCGTTTGCACAGTAAATAACTGATCCGCCACTGTACAACAAACACATACTTAATATTTTTATTTAAAGTCCAGAAGTTATGTTGCAACTTATTTTTAAAAACAAAAAGTTGTGCCAGCTTTGCGATTCTTTGTATGCACGTTTAAACACAATCTAAACAATGTAAGTTAGGGCTATTACTCCATGCATTACAAGTTGCTCAGTCAAATATTTCCTATATTAAAATCGCAAATAATTTAAATTAAAACTTGAAATTGACAAAAGCAGCCGACTTGCCTTTTCTTTTGCATCTTAATTTTAAAACAATAGATCTTGCATGTCACAAAACTTATTTTTCCACCTCCACGATCGAGATTTGAGACGAGTTCTGTCGCCTGGTTGAAGTAAATTGTAGTTTTCCTTGATTAAATGTGCATTTATGGTGAGATTACTTCATTTTATTTAATTAAACGCATTTATGGTGAAATTACTACATTTTCAGGTCAATCTTTATCATTTTGACCACCAGCGTTTGCAGCACAGCAGAAATAGATTCGGTGTGGAAACGATCGCTGTGCTGCTGTTATATGTACCACACCAGTGAAAAGTGAAAGCCCTAACCTGTTTACATGGTGCGTTAGGAAACTGCTGTGCGGCACTTTGCTCGGCTTCAAGTCGCTAACAGCCATTTGAGCTTCTACTGCTTCCTGATAAACACCAACCTTCGTGCGCAGTGGCTGCACAAAATAGACATTTTGATCGACGCGCAAAAAATAATAAAAATATTAAGTATGTGTTTGTTGTACAGCCGCGGATCAGTTATTCACTGTGCAAACGCTTCATAATATGTGAACGCACTAACAGCACGCTCCTGCACCGCAACACACACTGCAAACGGGTGTGAAACGGAGGTTAGATCCACTGCAGTTCTTAGAAACTTAGATGTGTTTAAGAACTCTTTTTTCGTACAACAGCAGCACTTATCTTGTTTGTTTATTAGTGGATGCGGGTGGTCGTAGACCGGAAACTGATACGCCAACTTCTGACAAAAGCGGAAGTTCGAAACTACAGTTGTGCACATAGCCCATATAGGCATTGACATAATATATACATAGACGCCCTATTGGCCGCTGGAGCGTACGTCAACGGCACCGCCATATTGAGGAGATCAACTTTCCCATACCTCCAGCCCATTCTCACCCCCAAGGCGTCACTTAACTGACGCCTTGGGAAGCATTTGGACATGCTTCAATATCTGACGCTTTAGGCGCCCTTTAAGCCTAGTTCACACTACATGATTTTAAAATGTCGGGCTGAACTGTGCAGTTTACACTACATGACTTGCTCTCAGTGAAATCATGAGTGTTCAAGTTGTTTAGCTGTTCACACCACACAACACAACGTGATTGATCCACAACAGGAGGTAACTCACTACACGAGTTAACAACGCACTACATAGAGATACAACCACGATCGGATGATAAGAGCATATCATTTGTGACTCAATGAGAGCTGTTTCAGTACTATAATACGGTCTAAATCCTGAAAATAATCAAACAAATAACGAGTTGACAACAACACGATTCTATCTGGTCTAGAAACCATGTTTTGTAACGAAAAACCACGCAATAAAACGAACCAGAAATGACGCGAAACTGCAGAGAAGAACACAACACGCGAATATGGACGTCAGACAGAAACTAGTGCTGCACACTGTTTGCTCGACGATCTGCTCTGAGAAAAAAAATGCAAAAAGAAAAAGTAAGATTTACCTGGTGTCCTCAACCCATGCGTTGCTATGATTGGCTGTACTCATGACATCACTGAGATTGAGTCGCGCGACTGGGCGAGATATCTAGCATGCTAGATATTTTTCTGAGCTCGGTGACCTGTCTGCGAGCTGTCTGCGAGCTGTCTTTGATGCGTTGTTGGCTCTTTCACACTAACTGATTGGCGAGCGTTAATCGTCCGCTAATCGCCCGCGATTTGCACGCGATAACACCCTGACTTGTCGGCGACTCAACGATTTGCAAATCGGGCTTAAATCGGGCTTAAAATCACGTAGTGTGAACTAGGCTTTAGCGTCAGTTAGATGACGCCCTAGGATCGCGTGTACCCTACCCCCACCCCACACCTAAACCTAACCGCGTCCTAAGCCTAATCGCGTCATGTAAGTGACTCTAAAGGGCGCCTAAAACGTCAAATATTGAAGAATGGTCAAAGGTGACGCCTTGGGATGAGAATGCGTTGATACCTCTCATACCGGGAATTGAGAAAAATGCCTGTTTTGTGCGCTGCTTGGGGCTGTGAAAATCGCCACACAACTGAAAACAGCTTTCGAGGAAGTACCTTTCACAAGCAAGACTGAACGTTTGTTTTTGGTTGTATTTTACAGTACTGTATGTGGCCTTATAAATATTCAAGAGCTGAAAACCATAACCAGAATGTGGAATGAACAAGACAAACTCTTTATTTTGAGCAAAGAAAATGAAAATAACAGGACAGTATTTATATTGCATTCTTTGAAAAAGACAATGAACAATACATTTATTTAGCCAAACCCCTTATTTATGACCATGTCACTTCCTCATGTCTTTCCCCTGTATGACTTTGTGCTCGGGTCTAAAGGTGAATACTCAACAATGAAACCTCTGTTTTTAATCACCCACTATCACAGTTTCTGTATTTTCCCAGTCCAAGAAAGAAAGAATGCGGATGTGTCTGATGATTTCTGATAAACTGTTCAGTGAATGTGATCAGCCAGAGTAATTATAAATAAACAAACAAGATGGGAAACATCTAGGACTATGTAAAGAAAGATTCTGTGTGTTTTCATAGATTTAATGTAGACCTGCATTTTGAAAGAAAGAAAGAAAGAAATGTTTCAGTCTTCATTTCTATATTATGCTGTACAATAGGACTTAAATTATTAACCTTGTCTGAGGTGAAGGAGCCCTTAGCCTGTTTTTGAAACTCAATGCTTTACATTTTCATACTCATTTTCTTCATAACTGAAATTCTCATACACAGTAGATTCACTCCTCTTCACAGGAACTGCTCCATCTCTTCTTGTCTTCTGGATATCAATGATTTCTTCATAACTTGGTTCCTACAAAAAGTTAATTGTTAACTATTTAAGTTAATTGATAAAAAGTTAACATCAGACACATGATGATGTCTCTTGAGATAAAATTTTTTTTAGTTGACATTTAAATCATGAAACAGAAAGTCCACTATAAATCAGTGATAAAGCTATCATAATTGAATTTTTGTTAACATCTATAGTTTAAATGCAATCATTGGCATGTTTTTGTGCAGTTGCCTAATATGTGAAAGATTAAAGTCCACTTGAGGTGACAGTAAAAATACACACATCATTCCTGCTATAAAAGCCATAAACTCTTTAATTACCTCTATGAGTCAAAAGACTCCAGAGACAGAATAGGCACAACACCTGAATATCATTACTACTATTGAAAAACCAGCCTGGTTTTATTGCGAAAAACACCTAAACTGTAAGTGTTTGTAACGTGTCACATTTACAATTTGTAATATGTGAATTTCACACCAGATTTACATTAAATGAAAAGAATGGCTGTGATGAGAAGAAAAAACTGAAAGTCACTCACAGGCTCTTGTCTGCTTTGTGCTGGAGCTGCTGCTAAAAGAAAAACATTCAATAAGTTTGATACTGAGAGAAATGTGTTCTGAATCATCTGTAATATGAATAGATCATCTGAAATCTGTTATGGGATGATCAGGATCAGCGCTGTTTCAATTAAACCATACTCATGTCAGTATTACGAAGAAACATACCTCCACTTGATTTTCCTTTTTGTTCTTTGTTTAACATTGGGCTGTAGAGTTAAGACAAATAAGTTCTTTAAAATCTTTACCACTTTTCTCTCTCACAAACATTTTTTAATTAAAATACAGCAAAAAAAAAAATAAATAATAATAATGTTAGGGAAATTTACTGTAATCGGATAATTCATACACTCTTGAGTTTGATATTTCATGAGAATGATATTTTTTAATCATGGAGATCTTAAAAGGTTAAATGTGGATCTAGACCTGTTGGAAGCTGATACAAGATGGGATTTGTACACACATTATTAATGGTTACAATGTATATAATATGTCAAATTGAGGCTGTGATTACAAATTAAACCAGGATGTGCCATATTACTCACATTTTCTTAGTTTTTGTTAAATAGACAATCAGACCACAAATGCCTGAAACTGCCAATAAAACTCCAATGACAATCCCAACTATCGCTCCTGTTGTCAGTCCCCCTCCTCCACCACCACCACCACCGACTATAGAAAAGTTACAATAAACAACAGAGAACTAAAGACATATACTGCACACAATAATAATTGCAATACACTTTAAATACACAGTGTAAAAAATAATAATAATAAGACAACACAAGGCAATTACGAGCAAAAGAGACGTACATACAAAACGATGACAACAGAAAGCTCCATAAACAAATTAAATTAAGGTCAAAATACTGGTTACCAAAAGTTGAAAAAACATTTAGAGTTAGTTATAACACTTACTTTTAACTAGTAAAGCATGACTTTGTGAGTTGCTTCTCTTTGTGACATTATTCGAGGCAGTGCATTCGTAATCTCCACTGTGTGTGAAGTCAGTCTCAGCTATGGTGAAAGTGTCTGTGGTCACATTGGTGTCTGTTCCATTAAACCTCCAGCTGAATGAGGCAAAAGGTTTAGAATTTGCAGAGCAAGACAGAGACACACTGACCCCTAAATCCACCACATCCGGACCCTTAATAGAAACATCTTCTGGTCCATCTAGAACAAACACAAGCACTGAAGTATGTCTACTTTATCAGGTTTGATCTTAAATCATCTTGATGTTTAAATGTTTAACACTCACAGTTGATGATTAGAGGGAGTTTTGCCGTTTCAGAGCTGAAAGGGTTTCTATAAGTACACTGATATTCCCCATTGTCTGATTTCTGCACTGGACTGATGGACACTGATCTGTTATCAGGTGAGAAGATGATGCGGTTGCTAGGAGACAGAGGACTGTTATCTTTAATCCACTCCACAGAGTTGACGGTGTCAGTTCCCATAGAGGTGATGTTAGCAGATGACTTGCCCTCTATTAATAATTCTTTTGGACCAATAAGCCTGACATTAGATACTTTTTCTGTGTAAACGAGAGAAAGAACAAATCCACACACTGGATCTAAAATTAGTCTTTCACATTTAGGGCCCAAATCTTTTGTAATAACAGCAAAAAGCTTGTCCTTTTCTCATGACAGAAAGTTGCTAAATTAAGACTACAACAATCACAAAGATGTGAGTACAAATCTGATGAATCTAACAACCATTGTAGCTCTTTTTTAACAACTGGCTAGCAAAGTATAGATTTTTAAAAAAACATTTTTCGGGTAAATAGGCTATATTATGGACAAGGCCAATGGGGCCATCAGGGGTTTATTTCAGTGTGTATTTACATGGCCACATTTTGTTATGCATACATTTATGTTTAATGAATTTTCATAGAAAATACTGAAATGTCAGGGCCTGGGACATAGCATAAAAAATTGTAAAAGTTTATTATATTGGTAAAACTTTTCCAAGACAATTTGCAGTTTAGTTTTATGTTAAGGGCAGTGTTGGGTAAATTACTGTAAAAAAAGTAATGAATTACTAGCAACCAATTACTAATTATCAGTGTAGTTAGTTTACTGTACTAATTACTCTCTCTCTAAAAAATATTGCATTACTTATTACTAATTACTTTCTAAATCCAATATCAAACTCGACCAGTTGAAAAATAAGAACATACATGACACTGCTCTATTAATTCTTTAAATAAATAATACAAAATTGTATAAATTATTCTTGAACGTTGACCAATACTTTGGGAGAATGTTACATTTAAAACATACATTTTTATCATTAGACATTCAATTTTAATGTCACAATTGTTTTACAGTAAAGTGAAAAAGAAAGGACACCCTTCTGAATGTTATGGTTGCGCGTATCAGGACTTAAAAATCATCTGGTCCTTGGCAGGTCTTAAAATTATATAAATACAACCTCAGAGGACACCCTAGCGATTGAAAGATTTTAATAAAATTGTTTTTGAATTAATAATATTTTCAGCTCAGAAGTAATTAAATATACATAATGTAGTTATTTTAATACATTTAAACGTGTTATATTGAAAATAAATCAATAAATCGAATCAATTTATTTTATAATGCCTCACCAAATCTCGTTTGCATAAGAAGCTGTCACATGACAAATCTGCATTTGGCTGGATAATAGCCTATGGTATATTCTGCTTGCCTGAAGAAATGAAATGTTTTTAGAAATGATTAAAAATTGTTTTATAGTGGACTCAAATTAATTAATTTCACAGGATTAATACTGTTTTTAATTTTAAATAGCTCAAATTTAGTTTCTCAAAATGAAATGTGTTCACTTGCATGGTATTATTCCAATAAAGATTACAGACAGAGAACTGCAAATTAACAATAAAATACTGACAGCAGGGGTTGACGGGTTGTCAGTAGTTTTCTGTTAATTTAATGTAAACGATTTAGAGGATATTATTTTTACAGTAAATACTGAACCAGGTTTTGGCAAAACACTCACCGAACACTTGTAGTGAAGTTTCTCCTATAAGTATATCTTCAGCATTAGTTGTTACTCTGAGTCCGTATTTTCCAGAATCACCCAGTGTCAGATTCTGCAGCTCCAGAGATTGAGTGTTAATGTCAAACTCGACTCTGCCTTTATATGCATCGTATATTTTAGTTACTCCAGATTCTGCTGCAATAATAAGATTTGATGTAAAAGACCATTCAGTTCTTCGAATGGACGTGGAGGAGGGTGGGTTATCAGGGGCGAGCTTCACGCTTTTTCCCACTTCTCCATTAGCCGGAGCAGAAAACTGCAGAACTTGGCATAAATATTGTCCTAAAAAAGAAAAATCTAATTTTAAATGTTTTTACATTTTACATTTTGTAATTAAATTACTTAACTACTTTCACTAATCCAAGTGAAAGTAGTCTAGTGATAACAAAAAAGAACAGCTTTGGCTAACATTGACTAAGTGGTTATTTTACACAGAAATTTAACACACATCATAATTTATTTTCTAAAAAGTCTCACCAAAACAAGACAACATCCACAGCGTCCAGTATAAACGATAATAAACCATCATGATCGAGCTCTCATCCGTCAAGAGCTGCAGCTCATATCATCTGAAATATTTACCTTGGTTTTCAGTTAATGATAAACCACAGATTTTTTTTTTCTCCACGAGTGAAAAAAATGCAGCTACTAGGAAATATGCCTGTGTATAACATTTCTGCAGCTAAAAGGTCTTTATCTACAAAAATGGTCAGGGAAGTAGATTTTACTGTTTTAACTTCCCTTTAGCCTATGTCTTTGAACAGTTTGACGGTTGTTGTTTTTTTAGATGGAGTGGTGTTAACATGAGATTCCCATCACTTTAGAAATGAAAGCTGATGGCTAGGCTACATGTATTTATCCAGCGCCTAACACTTTTTACAATACGAGTGAACTAATAGTAATACATTAATTCACGTTTTACTAATGCACAGATAATCATGATCAGTTGTATAACTCATGAAGAATTAAACCATTAATTAATTATTACTGCATCAGCAACTAATAAAGAGTCTATTTGATTAATAGATTAAGTAGCCTAATACATGCATTACTATTAATTAAACATGTCATCATATTTTATTAACTAATAGTGTAAATTAATGTGTTGATTACCACAATTATTCAAAGCTATGCACACAACTTCCAGTTGTCTGCTTTAATTAATAATTAGCTAATGATTTGCAAATATTATTATGACTTTACTTGACTATTAGCCGCTTTCCGACCAAGTAGTTACAGGAACTTATAGTTATAGGAACTATCCACTTCTAAACAGTTCTAAGAACTCCAAACTCGGTTTTGCTGCTTGCGTTCGCACTGGCCAAGTGGCCATAGGAACTGGTAGGGGTAACGCAAGCACGGCGACGGTCTTTATCACTAGACGTAGCGCGGCAACATATACAACAACAACAACAAACCAGCGTGGATGAGGCTATTATTGCAATGTTCCTGTTCTGCCTTGAAAGATTTAAAGATTATGCTTGAGTTCTGTACAGAGAAACACAGAAGACAAAGGCTCCAGTGTAATATGATATTAAGTAATATGATGGAAGAAGATAAATGAGCAGAGCGCAGGAGGCAAACAAAACGACGGGTAAGTTTAGCTAGCATTAGCAATCAGCTGGTTAAATGCGTTATGTTTGTCTCAATCCTTAGTTGTAATGTTTTGCAAAAACACAGCGTATGGCAGACAGCGCGCTACAAGTTCCGTGTTGACAGTGGGCAATGACTTTTATAAGTTGAACCAATCAACGTAGACCTATGGAAAGGAAACTAAAAAAGTCTAAAGAGTTTTAGGAACTAAGTTACGGTCTGTGGAACTAAAAAATCTCCAATTTAGTCCGGTCGGAACACAAGAAAAAAGGGTTATAGGAACGTTAGGTTGAACTGCAAAGGTTCCTCCGGTCGGAAAGCGGCTGACTCATAATCAGTGGTGGAGGAAGTACTGAATCTCAGTACTTAAGTAAAAGTACAAATACCCAGATAAATATTTACTTTAGTAAAAGTAGAAGTAACACAATGACAACCATACTTAAGTAGAAAGTAAAAAGTACTTTATTTTAAATGTACTTTAAGTATTAAAAGTAAAAGTACTTGCATAACAATTTATTATCTTAATGTCTATTTTCTAATGATTAATAAAACATTTAATTCTAACTCATTCAACCTAATAGCCTACTCCTATAATGATGTTCAATAATGATGGAAAAAAATGTCACCATTTCTGAAACAAGCTTGCAATTAGGCAATATACATCATCCTTACTATATGTTAATAACTATGTTTGGCAGTAAACGAGATGAATTTATGGTGTAATTCTGAACCTCTTGGCTTGCCATATCCTAACCAAACCAATATTACACACGGTGTGTTTCCTATGCACATAAAAACAAATTTTCGCGTAGGGCTGGGCGATATGGCCAAAAAATCATATCTCGATATTTTTTGGTCAAATGGCGATATACGATATATATCTCGGTACTTTCTACGTTTTCTATTTAGATAAAGAAAATCTTTATATTTAAAAAAAAAAAAAATACATTCGGCCCAATGATACCCTACAAACAATGTTGATATTGAAGGATATGGAAACAAATATAATATAGGCTATGCAAAATATTATGTGCAAAAAGCTTTTGTTTTTATATTGACTAAAAGCTAAACTCAAAATGAAAATAAAAACAAAAACAAAAGCACAAACTAATTATATTAGCCTGCATTTGATTACCCCATTATAATCACTTTCACTTTTATTAAAAATATATACTTGTAGGTTTAAAATTCCACATATGGCACATTTATTTTCTCCAACAACAAATATTTTAGCAATATGTTTATTTTAGTCAGAATTATTGCGTACTACGTAATACTATTCACGCGCATGCGCGCGCCGGCGCTCGTTCAAGGAAGCATAAATTTTAGCGGAGATTCACTTGCAGAAGCTCGTCCTCTTCTGACATGGACATATTTGTTGTGAAATGGACATATTTGCTTTACTTTCTAACATTTACAGATGGAGAATATACCTGTGAAATGTAAGTTGAGCACTGAGGAAAGCACCACATCTCAAACGCATTAAACAGCGCAAGTATATCTGTCAGTCAGCAACAGTGTCTGTCAGAGCATTTGACCGGGCGGCAAGCTGCCTTAAACTTGCTAACTATATCAAAGTGATTTTGATGCAATTAATATAAGCTTGTGTCATGTTTAGGACAAATTGTACTACGTAGCCTTGCTACTTTCACTGCAGCAGCTCACACTGCAACCTCCGCTATTTTTCAGATGTGCTCATATCAAACTACTGTATCGATATAAACGGTATTGCCTCATTCCATATCGTTTCAAAAAATATAACGATACATCGTACATACTCGATATATCGCCCAGCCCTTCGCGTATGAGTTGCACGATAAACACACTGCGTGTGAGACGCATTTAGTGTGACCGGGTTGATATACTGTATCTATGGCAACCAAACGTCACTGGTGAGACAAACGTGCAACGAACGGACGGTCAGATTACGTTTTGGCAGGGGAAAAACTGATCAGAAAATGTAACGAAAATGTAACAGAAGTTGTAGAAATGTAGTGGAGTAGAAAGTATAATAATTGCTGCAAAATGTAACGAAGTAAAAGTAAAAAGTAGGCACTATTTATTGTACTTAAGTAAAGTAAAGATACGTGAAAAATGTACTTAAGTAAAGTAACGAAGTATTTGAACTTCGTTACTTTCCACCACTGCTCATAATTAATGCTTATTAGTGTACTCGCATTGTAAAGTGTTGCCATTTATACATTTCTTGTACCACTGTGTTTGGCAGAGCCGGCCCGAGCCTTTTGGGGGCCCTTAGCAGAATTTGATTTGGGGGCCCCTCCCATGACGCGGAGTCACCTGTGTTTGACGATTATTGACACAAATGTCACGCAATAATGATACATTATAAATGAATACACTTGTGTACACACAGTACAGAGCCTAGCGACACAGCGACAAAATCGCTGGCGGTGTGAACGGGGCTTTAGGTTATGTATTAGGCTACAACAAAATTAATACTTAATAAAAAGAAAATAGATGCCTACTTAAATAAAAAAAGTTTTAACAGTCTTAAAACTGTCTCAAAACATATAAATAAATTATTTGCTAAAATTATGACAAAACTGAGAAACATTTTGTTTGAAAACTATTGTTGAAAACCTATTGTTGAAAACTAAAAATATTTGGCCTACTATTTCTCAACTGTCTCAATACAGTGTAACTGTCCTCAAAAGCTTTATTATTATTATTATCGTAAGAGACTTTGTTAGATATTACATGACATAATCCAACAAAGTCTGTTACTATAATACCGGTAATGATGTTCTGGCACTCGTTGTATGTGTGTATGCAATGTGTTTTTCCCCTCGGTGCTTGCCGTAGATGGGTCGTGCACACTTGGTAGGCTACTGGAGTGTTGTATGGCAAGCCGTTTTAGCTTAAAGGTTCTCAAAGCGATCCTGGGTGTTGACGTTCGAATATTTTCAAACAAATCGGAGCTAGACCCTCCCTCCTCCGCATCTCATCTCCTGCCCCTCCCTTCCGTGCTTCCTGAAATAATTGTGAACGTGCATAGTTCTAGCTAATTATATCCTTGTGTGGGTTTGGCGAACATAAGCGTCAATTTAGAAGAAAAAAAACAATTTAACGTTACCCACCTGTCAAGCAAAAACAGAGCAACCTGAATGTCGGACTGGAAGCCCTTCTGCCGCCGGAGTTCTCGCCATCGTTCAAAAGCTTTGCTACCGATGTAAATTCGGAACTTCGCACGTTCTTTATCCGACTCCTTCTTCTTTTTAATTTGTTCCTCAGAACGACGTCTCTTTGGTCGTGTGTCGGTAATTTTTCAAACTTCCCTCTGATGCTTCGCTGCTCTCCTTCACACACACACACACCCTTCATGTGCACGCGCACTAACCCCCCAGACCCACCCTCAAATACTTCTTGCCAGTGAATGGCTGGAACACTGTTTGTTAGGTTTCGTGGTCCGGGTAAGACATGATTGTTTTTGTTGCCGTTTGTGGAGCCTGTGGTGTCTACAGAGACCGCGTTTTTTTACAGTGTGTTTAGGCCGGGGACAGGCAGCTAGCCGATAGTGAGGAGACATTTGATGTATGTGACAAAAAATGTTTTGGCCCAGCATCGCTTATAGAACCTTTAAATTGTACCCTGCCTTAATCGTCATTATTGCATTTTTACCAGTAAGAATTCAATTAGAGAGCTTTACAATTGAATTCCTACTAGTAGCAATTACAATTATAGAGCTCTCTAATTAAATTCGTACTAATAATTATGATTAGAGAGCTCTTTAATTTGATTTTTACTACTAAGAATATAATTGCAAAGCTCTTTAATTGAATTGCAGAGCTCTGCAATTGCATTACTAGTAAGAATTACATAAGAGAGCTCTCTAAATCAGTTTTTACTAGTAAGAATTACATTAAGAGAGCTCTTTAATGCAATTATTAATAGCTTTCATTTTTACTAGGATTTTTATTACTAGCTTATTACATTCAAGATGATTAAGTTACCGATGACACAAAAGTCTCCATTTACAACCAGGTAACGTGAGCCTATAATACCGGTATTGTGTTTTATGCATACAAATACTGTATTTTTGCTACTTAAAAGTGATCTTAATGTCTTTTGAAAGTAAAAGTTATTAATATTTCAGTAATTCATATAGAGGTAACGTTAATGGAAGAATTGGAAGGAGCGTTTAGTCTAAAACTATTTTCTGTCATTTGTGTTTCTTGCAATGTTTGTGCTTGTAATATAGTTTTATGTTGACAGACCATGTTTTTACACCAAATATTTCAGGTAATTACTCTGGTACTGATGCTCCGTGTAAAGGACACAATCTGGCAACCATTGAAGCAAACATAAACCTGCAGAGGTGAATGGACATGGGAGCTAAAGAGCCTTGTAAGTGGTTTTGTAACTTTTGTTGTAAATCTTCATAGAATTACCTTTACATTATAGTAGGCTACAGATTATAGTAATCTTGTTCAAATGTTAGGAAACAATTTTGTTGGTTTAAGAAAGCCAACATATTGTTAACCTATTTACACTATTATTATTATTATTATATCTGAGACATAAATGTTCAACTCTTAACTCCTAGAGCTTTAGTGCTAAAAGCACAGACCATAAAGGATCTCAACCAAAAGACATCCAAAAATCAGATTTAGCCCATGATTTACACACCCTCAAGGCATCCTAGGTGTATATGACATTCTTCTTACAGACGAATACAATCGGAGTTATATTTAAATTGACTTTTAGAATGGCAGTGAATGGCCGTCTATCAAGGCGCATCCATCCATGATAAAAGTAATCCACCACATGACTTATAAAGGCCTTTTGAAGCGAAGCATTTGTGTAAGAAAAATATCCATTTTTAAAACTTTACTGGATTAAGATATTGGATATATGGATTAACTATATGTTTTACATTACAGAAACAAAAAAGATACTAATAATTTATCATATTTATACTTTCAATAAATTAGTCTTTACATAATTTCTGATTGCTAATTAGGCTGGCTAATTTTGAAAGTTTTCAATGTCAATATTGCTTGTGATCTTAATGTATGTGTATTCTTTATGTTTACACTTTTGCATGATCATCTTTTTTAGGCTATGAGGAAAAACTCTACCATGCACACAGAGAACAGAGCTCAATGCTGCTAACTGGGGGAGCAGCTGGACAACTAGAAGAGAGAATAGTAGAACACTATTAATACAGATTCCTGGATTATTCTTCTGCAAGAACCAAGACAAGCAAAGACAGATGATGAGTGCTCTGAGCAAACACCCTAGTCAAGACGCATGAGTGACTTTACGGAGTTCTACATGTAATGTTGGGCATTTACTGTACGCAGAACTTCTAATAATTTATGTGGATGCCATTCATAAACCTGTTAGATTTTGATGTTTTAGTTTTGAGATTAATAAAATTGTATGCTTTAACAATGTTATAGCTAAGCATTTTTGGGGGGTTTTAAGAGAACATTTTGGGAACAAAAATAAACTTCCGCTAAAAACTTTATAAGAAAGTTAGGGGATAATGTTTTAAAAATGTTATGATTAAACCTTTATAGAAAGTCATCACAAAACATTTTCAGAGTGCTCTTGGAGAATGTTATGCCATCTTTTAAGAGAACATTCTGGGAACAAAAAGAAAACTACCCGCTGAAAATGTAGGAGTCAGGTAAGAACGTCAGGGAATAATGTTCTAACAATGTTAGCATTAAACATATTTAGAATGTTTTTAGAGAATGTTATTAGAACTTTTAAGAGAACATTCTGGGAACAAAAAGAAAACTACCTGCTGAAAATGTTATAAGAATGTCAGGGAATAATGTTCCAACAATGTTAGCACTAAACATATTGAGAATGTTTTTAGAGAATGTTATTAGAACTTTTAAGAGAACATTCTGGGAACAAAAAGAAAACTACTCGCTGAAAATGTTATAAGAACGTCAGGGAATAATTTTCTAACAATGTTAGCACTAAACATATTTAGAATGTTTTTAGAGAATGTTATTAGAACTTTTAAGAGAACATTTTAGGAACAAAAAGAAAACTACCCGCTGAAAACATTATTAGAACACTGCATGGTAATGTTCTCAGAACATTTTTAGAACAAAAAAATTCTAGCTGGGATAGTCCACTTTGGAAAATGTGTAGATGTCACGGTTTAACCCCCTCAAACTTACACGTTTGCGTTAACACGCTCCATTGGAGAGATATCCGGATGTTTATTCGCCTTTGCCATAACGACCTATTGGTTTTCATTAAACCGAGAAAATGGAATTTTGTTTTATTTACGATCACTGGGAAATGTTCTATTATTTAAAATGCAAAAAAAAAAAAAAAAACATTTATTGTTATTAGATGTCACGGTTTAAACTCAAAACCATAAATAGGGCTATACTGCCCTCTTGTGTCAAATTATATTTCTATATTTATTTTTCCAACAAATAAAACCAAACCCGCAATAAAACCCTGTCCAATACACCCTTGAACTCAACAGATGCAGTGGCTCAGTTGATAAAGCGTTGGGCTTTAAACAAAAAGATCTGAGTTCAATTCCCATACTTGCGTTAAATTGTTGTGATTATATCAAACAAAGTGGCCTAAACAATATATCTTCAACCCGGTATCGTGACAAGACGTGAAATAATCACGTTGGAAAACGTGTAGATGTCACGGTTTAAACCCCCCTATTATTTTAAATAAAATATATATATATATTATTTTCAAGGTGAAAAGGATTCATTTGCCTGGATCCACCCCGAAGAAACCGTCTAAATGTCACGTTTTTAACGTAGAAACTCCTGTAACTTCAGTGCCCAACCCGTATCACGACAAGACGTGAAATAATCACGTTGGTCCAATTTGGAAAACATGTAGATGTCACGGTTTAGTTTAAACTCAGAACCATAAATAGGGCTATACTGCCCTCTTGTGTCAAATTATATTTCTATATTTATTTTTCCAACAAACAAAGCCAAACCTGCAATAAAACCCCGTCCAATACACCCTTGAACTGAACAGATGCAGTGGCTCAGTTGATAAAGCGTTGGGCTTTAATCAAGAAGACTTGAGTTCAATTCCCATACTTGCGTTAAATTGTTGTGATTATATCAAACAAAGTGGCCTAAACAATATTTCTTCAACCCGGTATCGTGACAAGAAGTGAAATAATCACGTTGGTCCACTTTTGAAAACGTGTAGATGTCACGGTTTAAACCCCCTCAAACGTAAAACTTACACTTAAAACTTACCATCACGACCTATTGGTTTTCATTAAACCGAGAAAAATTGAATTTTCTTTTATTGACGATCACTGAGAAATGGTCTATTATTTAAAATGCAAAAAAAAAAAAAAAAAAAATTTATTATTTTCAAGGTGAAAAGGATTCATTTGCCTGGATCCACGCCGAAGAAAACGTCTAAATGTCACATTTTTAATGAAGCAGCCTAAATAGTCCACTTTGGAAAATGTGTAGATGTCAGGTTTTCATTAAACCGAAAAAAATGAATTTTGTTTTATTTACGATCACTGAGAAATGTTCTATTATTTAAAATGCAATATATATATATATATATATATATATATATAGGCTATATATATATATATATATATATATATATATATATATATATATATTATTTTCAAGGTGAAAAGGATTCATTTGCCTGGATCCACCCCGAAGAAAACGTCTAAATGTCACGTTTTTAATGAAGCAGCCTTATGAGTAAAATGTCTATTTTTCCGGCGTCCCCCAGCTCCTCGTTTAAGCAAAAGGTACGCTAAAACAACGTATTACATCGACGTTAATCGTGTTAACCATAACCTTTTAAATACTCGACCTAGTTCCATTGCTTAGCAACGGGAAGAAACTGTAACTTCAGTGCCCAACCCGTATCACGACAAGACGTGAAATAATCACGTTGGTCCAATTTGGAAAACGTGTAGATGTCACGGTTTAGTTTAAACTCAGAAATAGGGCTATACTGCCCTCTTGTGTCAAATTATATTTCTATATTTATTTTTCCAACAAATAAAACCACACCTGCAATAAAACCCCGTCCAAAACACTCTTGAACTCAACAGATTCAGTGGCTCAGTTGATAAAGCGTTGGGCTTTAATCAAGAAGAGTTGAGTTCAATTCCCATACTTGAGTTAATTTGTTGTGATTATATCAAACAAAAGTGGCCTAAACAATATTTCTTCAACCCGGTATCGTGACAAGACGTGAAATAATCGGTGCACTTTTGAAAACGCGTAGATGTCACGGTTTAAACCCCCTCAAATGTGAAACTTACACTTAAACTGAAACTTACCTATTGGTTTTCATTAAACTGAGAAAAATGGAATTTTGTTTTATTGACGATCACTGAGAAATGGTCTAATATTTGAAATGCAAAAAACATTTATTATTTTCAAGGTGAACAGGATTCATTTGCCTCGATCCACGCTGAAAAAAACGTCTAAATGTCACATTTAATGAAGCAGCCTCAATAGTCCACTTTGGAAAATGTGTAGATGTCACGGTTTAACCCCCTCAAACGTGAAACTTACACGTTTACGTTAACACGCTCCATTGGAGAGATATCCGGATGTCTATTCGCCTCTGCCATAACGACCTATTGGTTTTCATTAAACCGAGAAAATTGAATTTTGTTTTATTTACGATCACTGAGAAATGTTCTATTATTTTAAATGCAAAAAAAAAAAAAAAAAAAAAATTATTTTCAAGGTGAAAATGATTCATTTGCATGGATCCACGCCGAAGAAAACGTCCAAATGTCACGTTTTTAATGAAGCAGTCTAATGAGTAAAATGTCTATTTTTCCGGTGTCACCCCAGCTCCTCGTTTAGGCAAAAGGTACGCTAAAAACAACGTATTACATTGACGTTAAACCACGTTAACCATAACCTTTTAAATACTCGACCTAGTTCCATTGCTTAGCAATGGGAAGAAACTCCTGTCACTTCAGTGCCCAACCCCTATCACGACAAGACGTGAAATAATCACGTTGGTCCACTTTGGAAAACGTGTAGATGTCACGGTTTAGTTTAATCTCAAAACCATAAATAGGGCTATACTGCCCTCTTGTGTCAAATTATATTTATATTTTTATTTTTCCAACAAATAAAGCCAAACCTGCAATAAAACCCGTCCAATATACCCTTGAACACAACAGATGCAGTAGCTCAGTTGATAAAGCGTTGGGCTTTAATCAAGAAGACCTGAGTTCAAATCCCATACTTGCGTTAAATTGTTGTGATTATATCGAACAAAGTGGCCTAAACAATATTTCTTCAACCCGGTTTTTAACAGTCTATGATCAAGAGCCTCCATTTTTGCACTCAAGTCAAAGTCTCACAGCCCTCTATCATAATCCAGAGTTTTGAGAAGATTGGAGAAACTTATTTTTCGGCCGAAAACGAAAAATACGAAAGGGGTAACACTGTCGTTTTTTTTTTCGGGTCGAAATTTTGAAATTCGATATCTCAGCTGTGGAAGGGTCTAGAGCCTCCATTTTTGCACTCAGGTCAAAGTCTCGTGGCCCTCTATCAGAATCCAGAGTTTTGAGAAGATTGGAGAAACTTAATTTTTCGCCCGAAAACGAAAAAAACGTAAGGGGTAACACTGTCGTTTTTTTTTTCGGGTCGAAATTTTAAAATTCGATATCTCAGCTCTGGAAGGGTCTAGAGCCTCCATTTTTGCACTCAGGTCAAAGTCTCACAGCCCTCTATCATAATCCAGAGTTTTGAGAAGATTGGAGAAACTTAATTTTTCGCCCAAAAATGAAAAAAACGTAAGGGGTAACACTGTCGTTTTTTTTTCGGGTCGAAATTTTGAGTTTCGATATCTCAGCTCTGGAAGGGTCTAGAGCCTCCATTTTTGCACTCAGGTCAAAGTCTCACAGCCCTCTATCATAATCCAGAGTTTTGAGAAGATTGGAGAAACTTAATTTTTCGCCCAAAAATGAAAAAAACGTAAGGGGTAACACTGTCGTTTTTTTTTCGGGTCGAAATTTTGAGTTTCGATATCTCAGCTCTGGAAGGGTCTAGAGCCTCCATTTTTGCACTCAGGTCAAAGTCTCGTGGCCCTCTATCAGAATCCAGAGTTTTGAGAAGATTGGAGAAACTTAATTTTTCGCCCGAAAAAAAAAAACGAAAGGGGTAACACTGTCGTTTTTTTTTCGGGTCGAAATTTTAAAATTCGATATCTCAGCTCTGGAAGGGTCTAGAGCCTCCATTTTTGCACTCAGGTCAAAGTCTCACAGCCCTCTATCATAATCCAGAGTTTTGAGAAGATTGGAGAAACTTAATTTTTCGCCCAAAAATGAAAAAAACGTAAGGGGTAACACTGTCGTTTTTTTTTCGGGTCGAAATTTTGAAATTCGATATCTCAGCTCTGGAAGGGTCTAGAGCCTCCATTTTTGCACTCAGGTCAA